GGGCTTAACTGTCCCTGAGATCGAGTCCAGATCGGATTCCGACTGAACTCCCCCGAGATCACCCTCGTGGGAGGGGATCAGGTCAGATTCTGATTTTTTCCATGCCTAGGCCAAAATCAGGTCGGCCCTTTTTCGACTCCTCCCTTGGTGTGTCGATACGGTACACTTGCCTTCTAGCCCTGAGCCTTATAGGCGAAAGGGCTTTAAGGAATTACTCCCCGGGACCGTATCAGAATTATACCGAGATGGTACACTTTTCTTCCAGCCCTGAGCCTTATAAGGCGTAGGGGCTTAGCTAGCCATGATATTAGATCAATGCCTACGTGGGAAGGTTAGATCAAATTCTGACCGAGACGGTCCACTTCCCTTCAAGCCCTGACTTTACGTTGTATTGACGCAAAACTGCCGTGGTAGCAAAAAAAGGATATCAGCAGAGCTCCAGGAGGGAGCTCTGATACCATAAAAGATAAAAGGACAAATGTGCAAGGATAGAATAGAGTGATGAAATGTTTGGTGTATTGATTATCCCAATGTGAGCAATATATGTACAAGGTGAAAGGCATCAGCAAGGATAAAATAAAATAAAGGAATATTGTTACAATATACAGCTAATACCATCTAGAAGCTACTGATAATTACAACAAACGTAATAGAAAATAAACTAAGAATGTACTGAGGAATAATCCTTGAACTGAGGAATAGATTGGGCTAAGAAAGCATTGGGCTTCTTTTGTTTTAAATATTAGAAACAATAACTAAAGAAAAGAAAATAATAAAAAAAAAAAGCATTGGTATATAAATACATACAAACTATAAGTCATGAGAATAGGTTAAGTTTATAGGAAATATTTTTAATCTTTTGATCTTTAACTCTGGCTTCAACGTTAACTCAAATATTTAAAGAAAAACATTACAACGGTCATTCAATATAGACCTTACACGTGTATGATCTTATTAATTTCTAAAAATTATCAATAACTATCTTATCTATCAAAATATGGATACTCAAAATTTCATTAACCGATTATCCTAGATTCTTGGATGTTCCTTTTAAGTTTTCTTTGCATAATTCCTTTCTTTGGATATGTCAAAAATTTGTGGATAACAAATATTAATAATAATATTTAAGATTCAATCAAAGATTAACTATGTTATCTCAAGGTAGAAGTTGAATAGATTATAGAGTGTGATGCTTAAATCATCTAATTATAAAACTTAATTTAATAATTTTATAGTTGAGTATAAAATTTGTCAACTACTCCAAAATTTACATAAAGATTCAACGCTACTAATAATGTATTAAAAGTGAATCTACTTTTAAATCATTTTTGTTCTATTTTCTTGTTTGTTGTCCATTTAGAAAGAAAGAAAGATATAAAATAAGAAATATAACTAATATTTTCATTTATAATTAATATAACTTCATTGTTATTTCTCTATCACTTATAGTAAAGCTATAGAATATTTAAAAATAAATAAAGACAAGAATATAATTAATAACAGATTTAATTAATAAATACATAAATGTTTATTTTAGAGAGTAAATAGACATAAATAAAGTGGATGGAATAATATCTAAAAACAAACAAAAACAGATCAACAAATGGCTCTGATAAGCATAAAGGTGCATGGGGTATCCCAATGTGGAAAAGGTTAGAGTAGGCTAGGACCAAATTCTGCATTACTGGATTCGCTTCTGCAAGTTGGTGTGATTCACAAACAATACGCCAATGGTGGGAATAGTTATACAGATACAGGCATTATTTGATTAGTGATTGATAAGACGTTAAACTTTGTCGGCATTACTTTCCATTTTCAATTAGTGTAAAGAAAGGTGCCACGTAGTAGTAGGCAGGAATGCTACAAGAATCCAATTGTTATAAAGGAAGCATGGCAGTGTATATATAAACGACAGATGGGAAAAGTAAGCTCTGTTTGGTAGGCCATAACAAAGATATGAAATTAGTAAATTTTTTTAAAATTTGAATCGAAGAATAAGTAAACTCTGATACCATAAAAGATAAAAGGACAAATGTGCAAGGATAGAATAGAGTGATGAAATGTTTGGTGTATTGATTATCCCAATGTGAGCAATATATGTACAAGGTGAAAGGCATCAGCAAGGATAAAATAAAATAAACTCGCCCAGTTGGATTTTGACAGATCAATCACGAGTTTGGTCTGAACCATGAAGTATATATGTCAAATTGAAAATTTTATATTTATTTCTTACTTGTGCCTCGTTAAAAACCTTCTCAGCAAAAAACCCTTTCACACTTTTATAGGGATAAAATACTGAGCTAGGAAAAGAGTACACTTGATAAAAAACCTTCTCGATTTTCTGCTGCTCTTTTATTGATCTGTCCTTCCTCCGTCTTTATATGGCTCAGGGTGAAAGCTCTTACCTTCGACATCGTTTGACAATTTGCTCTTTCCAGTGCGACATCGAAATCACCTAACCTTAGTCCCTTTTGAAAGGCGATGACTGCCATCTTCTCGTCCAAGGATGCTATCCTCAAAGCCACTTTATTAAACCTTTGCAAAAAGTCCTTCAACGACTCCTCACGTTGCTGCTTGAGAGCGAACAAATCTGACATGATCAATGGTTTCCTCTTATTTGCCACAAATTGTGCCATGAAAAGCCGACTGAAAACATCAAAGTCGGTGATCGATCGGTCAAGAAGATTGCTGAACCAATCGAGGGCCGCCTTTTTGAGCGTTCCCATGAATAGTTTGCATCGGACATCCATACTCCCCCCACATATCAACATCTGAGCGCGAAAATCCGTTAGGTGTTGAATAGGATCCTGTGTCCCATCAAAAGGTTCCACCTAGGGGACTCGGTGGTCTCTCGGAATGATTTCGGCCTCTATAACCTCTGAGAAAGGTCTAAAGTCCCTTGGGACTTGCGTCATCACGTCTTCCTCCGTTGTTCTGATATTAGCTTCCATCATGGCTTGCATCTTATCGGCTCGTTGTTTGATTTCCTCGTTCTCCTGTTGAAGGGCCTCCTCCCTTTCCCTGGATCGCGCATTCTCCTCTCTTAAGTCGTTGATCAATGCCATCATCTCCTCTATAGTAGGGTGTTGTGGGTCGTGGTTTGGTGCGCCGCCTCTCGCCATTTTTCGTAGCCTTTTGTTCTTCAAGTTTTTTTTTTTTGTATTTCTTGGGGCGTAGGAAAAGTTTCA